CTTAAACGAGCACGGTGACCCCCACTGTTTTATTTCATAATTTCAATGAGAAGAATATCCTCAATAACTGAGAAAAAAAATTAGCAGAAATCTATGGCTACTTTTTTTGCAAATGAAATAAATACTACAGAGGGAGACATGACGGGCCCAACAGCGCAAAAATCAAAGAAACTCAAACTCTGTGTGATATAACACGCTGCATTGAAAAATAATCGAGCTTATTTGTTACGCCTGAAGATTACCAAAAGTCACCTAAATAACCGTATTTGTCAGCATTGTGGCGTGAAAACAAGCACTGTGACCCCCTATTTTACTACGTTTTTAATATCTCCTTGTCCTGTAACAACAGCATACCACGTTTCATCGGAAATCTATGGCGGGTTCTTTTACTAGGGAATCACCTTAACAAAATGACGGCCGCTTCGCATTTTGGAAGTGTCTATGACAGAGTTTTGAACGACTAGTAGATTTATGCTAAAACAATTTTGAACGACTAGTAGATTTATGCTAAAACAATTAGATTATTAGCTCTCGATTTCTATGCGTTAATAGTTGACGAGGGCGCACACGCGATAGACTGAAATCTCGAGCTCATAATCTAATTGCTTCGTAGAAACTTCATGTCAAACCCGCAAAACTTGATTGTTATAAACGTTCGTTTTTTATCAGGATTGTTAAATTAGTCAAATTATGGAATGAATTACTTGTATATCTAGTTTGCATCTGGAATAAATAAAGTGTGTATGAATGTTTAGTTTAACCTTACTGCCAGAAATTAGCTAGAAATTGTTAGCTTACAAACAGGTGGTTAAGACGGACAGAGTGTGAGCGAGAAGAAGCAGCGAAAAATACTGCGCTAAACCTCCTGTTCTGTAGGCTAGATATTATCACGATGATCACTTTTTGCTATTCTAGATAGGCGATGCAAGTTTTGAGTTCTTTGGTCCCTTCATTTCACGAATTTCATCGTACATATTAGGGATTCCAATCCAGAAAAATTCCATATGGACTTCTGATTAGCACAGGAAGGCTTTTTAATTCCCCTCTGATTTTCTTAAGAGAATTGTCACCTCGAGTTCCCGTGATAGGAGTTAATGCCTGACGCTTTCGGATGGGTAAAAATGTCATTTTGGGTACCGAAAAAGGTCGAGACTCAAATTAAAGGACCCAAGTCAGCCTCTGCCATTTTCTGTGCCCTCTAAATTATTGATATTGCATGGTGAAGCGAAATCTTTTTGCCTTACTGTAAGTTGTGTTCCTGAAAGTATCTTCAATTATCTTTAGTAGTTTCACAGTAGTTTCCTTCGTTTCGACATGCTCCGAATAAAATGTATTAGCCAAACTCTCGCATGTAAACAAAAAACAAAGGTATGGCTGACAAGGGCCCTTCAAGTTCCCCTAAAATAACCTAACAGACAATACGTTTATAGCGCAGCCTAAAATTAACCTATACAGAGCCTTAAAAGAACTCCAGATAGCGTAAAACAGCGTTTCAAAGCATTTGAGAGAAAATCGTCGTTGTGTGCTCCTAACAGCAACTAGATGTTGAAGGTAACAACCAAGTGCTAAAATATTTGATGTTTGTGGCGGACCCGTAACACTTAAACAGGCGTTTAATTTCTTTCGCGACGACTTTTAAGATGATGAGGAGAAAATTTCTTGTATTGCTTACTCGGCAATCATTTTTAACTTACAAATGAACGTGTAACAGCAACAGAGCAAAGGAACAAACAAATGTTCAGCTGCTGATTAAAATATGCTATGAACTTGGTCTCCTTTGTTTCCTCACTTGTTGCATTTATTATGATTATTTTATTAATTCATTACTACACTTCACAACTCCAGATATTTCTTTTTCAAGTTAAGCAGTTTCATTGACTCTTCATTGAAACAACTCAGTGTTTGTCACATTCCTTTTAGTGACCGTCAAACCTATGTACACATTCCTTTGCAAAATGGCCGGTGAGAATTCAGGAAAACTTGCCAGTAAGGGCTAATTTCGCAGTGTTTATTACTACCAATCAGTTTCACGACAAA